AGGAGAGAGAGAGATGAGGAGAGATGAGAGAGAGAGAGAGAGAGAGAGAGAGAGAGAGAGGAGAGAGAGAGAGAGAGAGAGAGAGAGAGAGAGAATAAGAAAGAGAGAGAGAGGAGAGATAGGGAGAGAGTGAGAAGGGAAGGAGGAGAGAGAGAGAGTGAGAAGGGGAAGAAAGAGAGGAGAGAGAGAGGAGAGGGAGAGAGAGAGAGAAAGAGAGAGAGAGGAGTCCCTCACAGCCCCACTCCTTCCGCGGCCTCTCGGCTCCCACAGTCGTCCTCTGCGCGGTAAGTACCGCCTTCCCGTTAGCCACGGGAACAGCCCACCTGTTCCGTTCTCTGGTAGCTATAGTACCTCTCATTACGGCTCTGCGGGGGCGGTAAGAGCTGTGCCGAGACTTACCGACGGTAGGGGTGGAGGTAGTTGTAATAAAAGGAGGACTGGGAGTGAGAGAGGAGATGAAGAATGCCACAGCCAACAGTTGTCCCCGCGCTGGTTATCTTTTCTTGGTCTATCTTGAGACGGTTATTGACATATTTGCGTCATAAATGGAGTGTTCTTAATTGAAGCTAGGCTATAAGTGTGTACATTACAGTGCAAGGCAATGACCTGCATATTACAGCTCTATTAAATATGAATAGGACGAGTCGAGGAGCCAGAAGAAAAGGACAAAGGTACACGTAGCAGTGGTTGACGAATTCAACTAGACCTAAATCACTATATAAGCTCGGTGTTTGAAAACAGAACAGTCGTTAAGTGTTGACATAAAGGTACTTATGTAGCTATATATGTGGAAAAGTTTAGCATGTGTCCTGTAAATCAATGCAGTGTAGAATTGCAAGCCTAATTGAATTGAACAGAACGATTAAGCGACTCTAAATTGTAGGATTTCCTTGGCACATTCGAAAACGCACCATCCTGGCCACCATTTATCAACTTTTTAAAGCTCTATCGAATTTCAGTCACGGAATCGCCAAACAACATCTTCCCGTCGAATACTTATGACGGCGGTACGCGACCGGAATTCCGTTCCTTCCGGTCAGCCTCTTTCGGTGCTTATATTGGTTGCTGCGACAGATTTTCTGCGCTTGGTAGAACGACATTGGCGACATATCTATATCGTCTCGTGGAAAAGAAGCGATGGCAACAAATCTCCGTCGTGGTGGAGCAAAGCTGGTGACCGATCTCTACCGTTGTAGAACGGCGCTGAGGACAGATCTCCCATCCCATGTTGGAAAGCCGCTAGCGCCAGATCTCCCCTCCCATGGCAGAGAGGCTCTAGCGACAGATCCCTCCCATGGATAGACCGGCACCTAAGCCGGGGACTGGCCGGCGCGAGACTCGCGTCAGTCGCGTGAAGGCTCGGTCGATGTACGCGGTCGGCCGGCCGGTCGGCGGCACACACGCCCCAGGGGGCGTGGACAAGAGAGGCACCAGGTGTGGCCGTCAACGGCGACAGAATGGCCTCGGCAACGACAGCAGCTGGAAAATAACCGGGAAACCAGAATAGCTTCCGGAAGATTGTCGTTGACGTACCGGAGTGATAGGCAGCAGATCAATGTTTCCTGGAGTGCGGTACGGCGATGAATAACATTGTGGAAATGATTTACCTGAAATAGTGTACAGGTTTTTGTTATTGTATGTATATACGTGCTATACATATATTTCGCAGCCCAGGCGGCGGAACACCTTCAATTATGGGGGGGGGGGGGGCACTGCCGACTTTTGGTCCCATTCTTTCCATGTAATGCCCATAGGGCTAATGTTAAAATGCCAAAATCAAAGGGGGGCACGGTGCCCTGGTGCCCTCCCCGTTCCGCCGCCTATTTTTCGCACATTCATAATATCCGGTGGTACGGCGCAGTAGTCAGTACCTACTCGTAGCCGCAGAAGTTGCAGCTATTCTTGTATTTTATTGTTTCTCTGTTGTTAAGCCTTTAGACGATCAACAATTAGAGCCAGCCCAGCACGTGACGCATGGTTTTGTCAATCAGTTTCGCCGTTTTTGGAACGGCACTGTTCCACCTTAATCACTCATTTCGGTTCTTGTTCGCACTCCAAAGTAAAAAGACCCGATAACAGTGACCAATTGGAAGAAAGAGCCGACCATCAAAAGCGGAAGAATGCGCCGCCACTAACTTTGATCGACAGGCCTGTAGCAAAATACGTCGTTAAAAGTTTCCGACGTTTCTCGGCGAACACAAAAGGGCCTCACGGAGGCGGGTGCTGCCTCTCGAGGGCAATAATGGCGGCCCAACTTCTGACGGCTTCCTGGGAGCCGCTGAGGGTCTCCGAGATCCGGTCGCCGACGGCGTGTCATAAACGGGAGACGGGACGACGGCGGCTCAGTGGGAGCCTGGCCGGGCTCACCGCAGCGGTAGGAGAAAACTGGGAGTGTAAAACGTACCGGGAGAGGGAGGTCTGACATGGCTTACCAAAGATAGGAGTATTTCGCGTTCTGCAATTGACCAGTGCGCACATCTTTGTTTTACATAACGACATACCAAGTATCAATATCATTCTATCAATATCATTATATCATCAATATCATTTTAAGCATTAACGACATACCAAATTCTGCCTTGTATCGCTGTGTTATAATGACCCGGGCACTCTAAAAGCCAATTAAGTCATCCACCGTGTCTTCGTGTGCTGTGCTGTCTATGATTGGATGGACGGGTGAGTAGTGTTTGCGCCGATCGGGTGCGAAACGGCCTGACAAATGGTGATGACAGTGATGTCGGCCATAAATGCCGCCAAACGAGCTGGCAGCGAAAGCTAATCACAAACCCAATCACCGTCGGCGCTGGCTAAAAACAGGCGGCACGCCACAGCGGCTCCACACCGCAGCAGCTCGGACCGCCATTATACCGGGGAACAATCAGAATAGTGCGAAATAACCAATTTCCATAACAAAAACCCACGCATACTAATGAGCGAAGAGTTCAAGAATAGACGGTGGCAGAAAGCTGAAAGCTGAATGATATGCACGACGGTAAGCCGTTTCTAGAGCTGCTTTTGACGGTGACATTTGCGAAGGGGAATTCCTGTGAAGCTAGCTGACGACACCTCAGGAGTTGGGCAGTCTGGAAATCCAATACAGATCACGACGGCATCGATAGCTGGCCGTGGGTTCCCCTAACGGCGTCGACGTTGTTCTGTGCGGCTCGATTTCGTCCCCGAGCTCTGAAGTTCTCTGACCGAGGAAAAGGTCTGAGTAGGCGGTGAGTTGGAGCTGATAATCGGGAGTCCGTTTCATTTCACCGGGACCACTGAAAGGTCATGAGATGATCAGCAGCCCGTGCTCACGTTTTGCCCAGAGGTGATTCTGTCCGCAGGTTTCGGATGAACGGCCCTGTATGTACCTATTGACCGACCGTTGGACCGAGCAGGGGTGTAATGACCATCGGGGTCGGTGAAGAATAGATTGATCCAACAGATAACGTTGGATCCCTATCAGTGACCTTTGGGTCACTCGGGACCAGTTTCAGTTAGTCGTTATGTGAAATCGATAAACACTATGTATTACTGTTTGGACGTAATATTTGCTCTGGCACTGAAACCAACACAATCCAACGGAAAATAGCAATGTTCACCCACCACCCACCCCCTCCCCCAGTCAAGCTCCAGTTCAACCAACCACATAGCCTTGAACCAGCCTTTGTGGCCCTTGGGATGAGCTCCAGTAACTTCATAACCGTGGTTATGGCCTCTTTTGCGAGAGCAAATCGTAGAATGCCAGGTTCCAGCAGCTATGAAGATCATGAAGTTACATTGGAAAGAAGCGGAGTCTATTTCCTTTCCATCGTTACCTTTTAGGGCAAGAAAGCAGGAATTTAATAGCGAAAGAAACCCACACTCGTCCCTCGGTAGAAGTTCTCCCTCCATCTCCAACGCACTTGGATGGAACTTGAAGCTTGGCAGAGCCAGCATTTAGGAACTTATCCACCGCAATTTCCATTTCTAGGCAGCGTTTCCATCTTGCGATACCGCAAATAATCTAAAGTGCAATACATCTCGTAGGAGGCTAAATACCTCCAAGTGTCCTCGCGCCATCACGCTCCTCACCACAAACGGAACCTATCAGACTGGGGGAATCCTGTATTCATACATCACTGACACATCTACAATCGGTCGTCGTTCGTTCGAGTCACTCCCGGAGCCAATAGGATTCAGACATGTGCGGCGATTCTTGCACTCCACTTCGCTGGAGACAGGTGATAACAATATATACAGTCCGGCCGGGCGGACCGCCGCCCGCCGCTCAGGCAGAGTTCATTCCCAGCTCAGGCAGTCTGACAGTGTGTCTGTCTCGCCGCGTGTCCAGACCCAGTGAGGACTCAGTCTCAGTCTCAGTCACCGTCACCGTACCATGGGAAAAGATCACAGAGAATTTCCCGCGTATAAAACCAGACACGACGCGCTGCCTGAATTCTCCGCCGCTAACAAACCGTTTTGGTATGATCTCACACTCGAGAGCGTGCATACTTCAGACACAATAATAGCTCACACTTCGCGCGCTCGACTGACGCACGGTGGGCCGCCGCGCGGCTCGCCGTCCCACCCGCTCAGGGCCGGTTCACTGCACCCTACCAGCACACACGTCTACCGCCGCGGCGGCCGGCCGCTCTGTGCACCCCTACAGGCCGAGGAGGAGGACGCGCGGGTCCTCGACGGCCGCCTTAATGTGCCGCAGGAAGGTGACCGCCTCCCTGCCGTCAATCAGCCGGTGGTCGTACGTCAGCGCCACGTACATCATCGGACGGATCTCCACCTGCCGGTAGGAGAGAGAAACTGAGGTGAGAGGCGGCGGGGAGAGAATACGACGTAGACGTTAGCGACGATACTGTGGTGCATGATCTGCTGAACGGTGCACATTACGCTCGTACCGATTGTAACCGTATAAACAAATGGGGACAAAAGAAATTGTAGCACCTCGATATCAAGCTCAGTACACGGTGGTTGAGACAGTCAAGAGGAAAAACGATGAAATCCAAATTTTTCAGTTCTGTATTTCTGTATTTCTGTATTTATTAGATCGCCAACAGGCCCATCGCCCTTTTACTGACGAAGTCAGTTACACACAAGCAATACACAAGATGACAGTACCTACATAAGAATAAACGTTCGATAAAACAAGATCGATAAAAGTAAAGCACGTGAGTATGATGTAAAAGATCACATGAAAGTGCCTTGCGTAATTGTGAAGCCGATAGCGCGTGTTTTAAATGAGTATGAACTACCAGTAAAGAAGTCGGTGGTCGGGTCATGGAGCAAGAATGAGTTGCATGCAGCTGGGATCCTGACAAACAAACATCGTTGCACGGTGTTCACTCGCGCGCGCGGTGTGTTCCACAGAACCGTGCTCCTCGTCCTCCGTGCCGGTACGGCAAGACCGAACGCACCGACTAACACATCATTGTCCAGCTTCCCACGATGAATGTGGAATAAAAACATGATATCGTACTGTATGAATCTAGACTTGATGGAGCGCACTTTAAAATGTGAGAGTAAAACCAAGTAGTCCAGGTCGTCAGAGCGCCTGTCAGAGTAACGAGCTAACCACATCAGAAACTTGTGCTGCACTCGCTCGAGCCTTGTCAGGTGAGATGCAGCCGCTCCAGCCCATATGACACAGCCATACTCGATGATTGAACGCACATGAGCGTAGTACGTACACAACATGGTTTTGTGATCAAAGGCGGCTCTGCTGTAGCGTCGAGACAGTTGCATACTACGGATAATCAGTCCTAACATCCGGTTTGCCTTGGCAACAGTCTGGTCAACGTGGGCGGCAAACGTAAGCTTGGAGTCGAGGATTACTCCTAGGTCTCGGACTTCGGATCGGCGCTGTAGGGTAGTGCCATCTAGAGTGTATGTGGCTAGGATGGGAGATTTTCGTAGGGAGAAGGAGATGACATGACATTTGGTAGGATTTAATTTTAGACGCCATGCAGCAGACCAGGTGGAGAGACGGTTGAGGTCGGCCTGGAGCAGTTCTGTGTCAGAGTGGGAGGTGATGCGGTGGTAGAGTTTGATGTCGTCTGCGTACATGATACAGTTGGTTTGGATAAGGGTGGGCAGGTCGGCGGTAAGACAGATGAACAAGAGGGGACCACAGACACTCCCTTCCGGCACGCCGGATCTGACAGGAGCCCAGTCAGAGCACATGCCATCTAGCACCACTCTCTGACGACGGTTGGTTAGGTAGGACCTGATCCAGGATAGAGCGCGCCCAGTGACGTTGAAGGATGTTTGGAGCTTGTGGAGGAGTAGGATGTGGTTGACACTGGTGAAGGCAGAGGAATAATCAGTATAAATGGAGTCAGTTTGAGCACCAGCCTGGATGGAGTCCCAGCTGTGTTTGAGGAACACGCTGAGGTTGGATGAACAGGATCGGTTGGGAAGGAAGCCATGCTGACTGGAAGGTAAGGACGGGAGAACGTGGGCCAGCAGGGTGTCACAGACGACTCTCTCCAGGACCTTGGAGCAGAGGGGGAGAAGGGAGATACCGCGATAGTTATTAGGATTCTTTTTGTCGCCTTTTTGTGGATGGGGATAACGTTGGCGTCTTTCCAGACCTGGGGAAGACAGCCTGAGAAACGGAGAGCCTGCAAAGAATTTCAAGGGGGACGGCCAACTCTGTTCTGTTCAGTCATGAAGATTGAAGATATCGAAAAAAAATATAACTTGAACACTGCGAGAAAAGCCAACAATCAGAATCAGATGCTAATAACAAAGTAGCAAATCTGTTGCCGTAGTGCCGTGGTGATATTCATTCCCGAGCATTAAAACAACTTCCCCTGTATCGTTCGTACCTTTCCGTCGATGGCCACTGGCCGCTGGAAGATGCCGTGCATGCCGAGGATGGCCGACTGGGGCGGGTTGATGATGGGCGTGCCGAACATGGAGCCGAACACACCGCCATTACTGATAGTGAACGTGCCACCGTCCATGTCCTCCACGGCCAGGGAGCCTGACGATGGACAGGGGGAGGGGGAGGGTCAGGGCAGGGCCTCAACGGTCAGGCAGCCTGGTGGAGGAGTGGGGGAAGGGGTTAGTGTCAGGGCAGAGAATCCATGTCCTCCACGGCCAGGGAGCCTGACGGAGGTGCGGGGGGAAGGGGTCAAGGCAGGGCAAGGCCTCCACGGCTAGAGAGCCTGACGGGGGAGCGGGGGTCAGGTTAGGGCAGAGCCGTCCATGTCCTCCACGGTTAGGGAGCCGACCGGGGGACAGGGGAATAATGAATAATGACAAGAGAGGAGAGGATAATGAATAATGACGTCATGGAGGCGAGTCTTGCAGAGCCAGCGAGCTTGGCGGAGGAACGGGGCAGAGGCGTTGGATTGGGTTAGTGCAGGGCAGAGTCTGACGTGACAGTCATTAGAGCTGCACAAGGTGGGGGTGAAGAGCGGTAAAGGAATGGCTGAAAGGAGTGGTTCATATCATGAATAAATCGACGATAGTTGTGATGAAGAGGGGTAACGAATATAGAACAAAATAAGCACGCACTTGTCAGCATTGGTTTGAATTTCAGACGTAGAGCTACTATGCCGAGACGCGAGAGCATAAAATAATGAAGTGCTTCCTTTCATGAGTGGACCAATGACGAGCGTACAAGTTGACAACACTTAAAACGGGTCGTATCAGTTACAGACCGTTTGTGAACTTTGCTCCATGATTAAAAGTGGCCTGACAGATAACTATGAATAAGAAAAAAAAAACATAGAACACACGACAGATCTATGATTCCCCATTAATTAGATCCACCCTGAGACTATTGCCTTACAATGTCGTTAGTGAGCTTGATGACTATCAGAGTCACACCACATGAACTTCCTTTATCCAATCCGAATCAGCCCCTAGCCATACCCCGCCGGAGCCCTCTCCGCCCGGCCCCAGGTCGCTCACCTTCCTTGGCCTTGGCTCCGAGCGCCTCGATGCCCTTCTCGATGTCCAGATAGCTCATCCCCTCGACACTACGCAGCACCGGCACCACCAGGCCCTGGCGAAGCGGGAGCGGAACGGTCAGCTGTGTAGATGGTGATGGCCGTAAAAAGGATAAATACTTGATACTTCATGTAGGTGAAGCTGAGATAACAGAATACATTTGTTGACTACCATTTCTGTCATGCATATTCGTGGCATAAATGGACTGAACGACTCGTTCTATTTTCTGGCCATCCCTCCCCCTTTGTAGCGGCCCTCAATCTCACCAGCTTATTCCTCTATATAACAGAATCACTCTCCCCCAACCAGCATCCGGCCTTCCCCTCCCCATCCCTCCAAGCTACACCACACCCTCCTTTCTCCACCGACACCTACCTTGGGTGTGGCCACGGCCACCGAAATGTCCACGTAGTCGCGGTACACAATCTCGTTTCCGTCAATGGCCGCATTCACGGTCGGCTGGTGGGTCAGCGCGTACGCCGACGCCTTGACGAAGGCAGACATGAAGCCGATCTTGATGCCGTGCTTCTTGACGAACGCCTCCTGGTGCTGTTTCCGCAGCTGCATGATGTTGCTGGAGGCCGTGGTGGACGGGGCGGGGGTCACAAAGTGGCGAAGGGTGAGACCACTGAATGATTAAAACATGTTTCCAAAACAAGCACGTAATGCATGAAGGTTTCCCTACTGATAAAGGTGTGATAACAGTTCGGCATTCCCATAATTGACTGTTTACTTGCGTAAGATTAATGACAATACTGGGCAACAGGGAAGTTTTTAGACTGATGACAGCAGCACGAAAAATAATATAACTAAAAATGTTATTCTGACGACAATGAGAAGCTACATAAATATGGGAAATGGCCCCAACCATACATGTCGCCTCGCTGCAGACTGCATTAGCTAATTGGGATTATCGGGCGCCCCGACTGCGAGGTCAGTGGCTGCACACTGACCTCATGTCGATCTCGTTGAAGGTGGTCAGCATGGCGTTGGTGTTCTGGGCGTCCTTGAGTCGCTGCGCTATCCGCTGACGCATACGGCTCATCTTCACACGCTGCTCAGTACGGGTGCCTGGTGGGAAAAACAACGGAGATGTGTGAAATGTCAGGTAGCTGATGCTAATGGTGTGTTACATAGAGAAGAAAATACGCAGCACATGCCAAGGATATGAGTCGGGTGCTGTAAAACATACCTATTAAGGAATTAGGAACATGATGTGCAATTACAGTGTTCTGTAAGAATAAACTGCAGATACCACTCGGAAATTCATTGCGGTAATGCTAGTATAATGGCAGTATAAAGACAGCATTATATCCTCCGGCGCCACATTAAAGCAATCCGCTAGTCACTCCGTATAGTCACGTCATCCAAACAATGCTTAGTCTGGTGCTCAGTACCCCAGCTGCTCCCCCTACCCTCTCGCCTCTGCTATCGCTGCGCTTCATTGTCCTCTCACCACACCCTCAGTTCGCCGCCCCCTTACCGGTGATCTCCTTGGTGGGGTCGTCGGGCGGCAGTTTGACCTCGCCCTTCTCCAGCGCCATCGAGTGCCGCACGGCCGCTACAGGGATGGAGGCGGACGGCGCCGACGGCCGCGAGCCGCTGCTCGCCGGAGGTCGCGACGGGATCGGTCCGGCAGTGTCGGACGACTCCGACGGCTTCTCCGGGGCGGCGGAGGAGGCCGGCGCGGAGGGCTTGGGCTCCGACTTGGGCGCGGCGGCGGGCTCCTCTTTCTTGGGCTCCTCCTTCTTGGGCGCCTCGGCGGCCGGCTCGGACTTTTTCTCAGCGGAGGCGCCGCCGGAGGCTGAAACGGACGGCGGGAGGGCGGTGAGAGGGTGTTGCGACGTCTGTGGGGAGGCTGGTCTATCAGTAAAAAGTGTTGAATATCTGGATGTGGCCAGTGTTTGCGAGAAACATAGGCAGTAACAAACGATCTGTGGACTAAGCAGGTACTTTGGCGTTATCGTATTATCAAATTGGATCTATAATAATAAAAAACAGCAACATTGAGCCAATGCTTTTCATCGGCCGCTAACAGACTTCAAAGATCCCATGGCTACGTATTTGTCAGTGAAAAAGCACCAACGGCATTTCACACAGTCCAAACACCCCAGCTGTTTCCGTGTGTTAGACAGTGAGACTTTATTCCTCCTATTACCCTCCACCACCTTCAATCATTGCCCCTCCGCACCCAAACCCCGCCACGGCCACCCACCGCCAACTTTGATGCTGAACAGGTTGGTGCCCGGTTTGACCGTGGAGCCGTCGGCCACCAGCAGTTCGGCGATGACGCCGGCCGCCGGCGCCGGCACCGGCACTGACGTCTTGTCCGTCTCGATTTCGGCAACCACCTGCCGACAGTCGGCGGGGCGTCATCAGAGGTGGGGCGTCATCAGAGGTGGGTCGTCATCAGGAGCAAGTGGATGACGTGTGTCCGCACAGTAAGACAGTCGGCAACACAGTGGGACAAGATTAGAGCCAACGTTAAAATAATAAAAGTTTATTAGCGAGAGGTTAATGGGCCAGCAGCAGGCTTAACTTCCTGAAAGGGGTTGCAGTATATAGCCGCCCTTCTAAAATCTAGAGTCCTATAATCTAGAGTCCTACAGTCCTACAGCCATATTATAGTAATTCGTCGTAAATGATGGGACAGACTCATGACCATTGAACACTCAGTGAGCAAGGACAAATTCATAGCCCGCCCGCCATGACATCCATCACCCACTGTCGTCCTGAGCCCGGCTCCGTTGGCCGGTTGCCAAGGTAACCAGCATCCCAGGGCCAAATATCGACCGTCCGTTTTCAGACAACACGACCCAGGTGTACGGGCACAGTGGAGTTCTACACAGCCGAAGACCAAACCGTGGCAGGGCGTGGTCTCTCACAAGTGTTTGGTACGATCATTGCATACCGCCAACTCGAACATTCCATACCGTAACTCAACCAACATAACTGCAGAACTGCCGCGTTTGCCACAAACCAAGGCCCCACCACCGAGTTTGAATGCCTCCGTAAGTATTAAAGGTGAGCTGAGAGCCTCAAAGGTTCCCCACCCGCTCCTCTCCTCCCCCACAGTGGGGTTACCACCGCACACACCCACCCCACGTCAGACACACAATGGGCACAGCTGTCAGTGGCCGGTCCGCGGCGAGCCAAGGCGCTCAGCTGACAAAGTCGCCCGCTCGGACAACCCACATCAGTGCGGCACTCAGAGATTGTCGGTGCAGGCACGTGAGGCGCCCTGAGCATGCTGAACTAGTCATAGCCAGTGGCTGTCTAAGAGATGGTGGTTTTAACCAGGGCTGCGGAGTCGATGGATTTTCAGTGACTCAGACTCCGACTCCGACTCCGGCTTCCAAAAACCAACTCCGACTCCGACTCCGACTCCGGGCAGAACTATCGACTCCGACCGACTCCAACTCCGACTCCCGACTCCGCAGCCCTGCCAGGTCTGCGGAGTCGATGTATTTGTCGGTGACTCCGACTCCGACTCCGGCTCCGGTTTCCAAAATCGACTCCGACTCCGACTCCGACTCCGGCCAGAACTGTCGACTCCGACCGACTCCAACTCCGACTCCGACTCCGACTCCGCAGCCCTGGTTTTAACGATACCAGATAGGACACCATTTGGATGTTAACTCGTCCGCGGTTTCCCTGGATTATTCTTCACTCATCCACTCACTCACTCAATCAATCAAACTCAAGCCCAGCCAGTTACACACTCACTTACTGCCAGCACTCACATATTACTCGTCAATTATAACCCAGGTCTTACATGTCGATTGTCGATCTTCCATAAACATGTCAACCGGGACCACCTGAGTAAAATCAGCCTCCCATTGTGTCCCAACATCCAAGCTCCCCGCCCCCATACCTGGGTCCCTTCAGACGGGTGTCGCGTCTCTCATACCTCATCCTCCTTGACGGAGTCTCCGGCGGCCTTCTCGAAGCGGACGTCTCCTTCAGAGACGGACTCGGCGAAGGCGGGGACCTGGACCACCTTCACATCGTCACCTGGGGGACGGAGGGCTCCCTGGTTAAACTGAGGGATGGTGTGGCGATGACTGCAGGACGCAGGTAGGTACCGACTGAGGGCATAACTACACGACGATCAAAATACAGTATGTAGCACACGTCATTATCACCAACACAACACACAAATACATTTTTTTCCATTGACGTGAGTTCAGTGCAGATGTGCTACAGGTGTGGCATGTTACCTAAAGATGCCTGACACCCCTTCGACTGACCTAGTGTCGCGGAGGTGCGGAGTCCTCGGCTGGCCAGACCGGCCTGCCATCTGCCGGTGACCTGGACAGGCTGTAGTGTGGGCAGGCGGCTGCCGGCAGACCAGGAGGCGGGCGCCAGGCGGTACGTTCGCGACGGGGTGGAGCACTGAAACAGGAGCGAAAACAGAGTCAGGTTAGGAGAAATGTACACATGTTACATTCAACTACTCATATTTTCATTTCAATTAGTTCAATGAGTCATTCAATGGTCTATTCTCAGATTCATTCCTTCCTTCATTCATAGATTGCCCGGAATGTAGAATGTAGTCTGCTAGCCAGTGTCCCATGTACAAGTTGAGGTAAATGTATTGAGCCTTATTGGGTCCTCCCTTGAAACAAGGTTACACACTTCTGAACTATAAATATCAAAATGAAACAGTGTTTAAGGTATGGCTCTTTTCTTATCCCAGGGGTGTAGGGTGCCCAAAGGTTTTATTCATCAAGCATAAGTCCAGGTACTTAAAATCTTCCCAGTTTATTTTTCCAGAGTAGTTGTGTGAAAAAGATTATCTTATGTTCTAAAATATTTCATAAGGGTTGGTTGCTATAATGTTTGTCCAACTGCTGTTCTCCAGCCAGATTTCATTCAACATGTCTAAGACTGAAAATCAGGAATGTAGTATTGAATGGTGGATAAGAAACAGCTTTTGTTATTCCCTCTCTTAGGTATGGGTTTCAGTGGACTGGAATTAGAGGATGGTCTTTTTAGTGGTCTATTTAGATGGTCATTTCCCACTGTAAAAGCTATATACCCGGAAACTTGCCTTAATAAACAATAAAAATGTATTCCCATGATGAAGTAACTCAGGTAGTGTTATTAAAGTCAACCCTACATGTGGAACAATGACACACATCATTGTCATAAATGAACACTTGTATGTGTAAAGTTGGGTTTAAAGCCTATCTTAGCATGTCTTATGACTTATCATAAAATTACAAAACAGGTTTTACTGTAGCATTCTTGCTCAAATGCATTGCTAGTATATTGCTAGTGGAAGTGATTCTGAAAACTGAGCTAATTGTCAACAGGTTCCCCATTGATGAAATGTACCTTTGAAAACAATCAATTTTGTTATATTTGATTTCATTGTATCATGAGCATAAGGTCATTTTCTAACATCATAATAGAATAATACAGTAAGTATAATTTACCTCAACTTCAGTAATACACATAATTCAATCTTAATATGTTGAAAAGTTATCAAATTTTGTTTTTGTAGTCTCATATCTTTTTTCTGTGAAAGTATCTCAGCTGCATTCTGCATCCAAGTCAAACTGCCCAATTAGTGGTAGCTTGAAATTTGAGTAATTGTAGCACCTATTCAGAGAGAAAAAGGTTGTGATGTGACAAGGGTTCCCCATTGATGACCCCATTTTATGACCCCTTGTCAGAAAACAAACCTATTTCATGAAATCTCTTGAAGCACATAAAAAACATATTGTAAAACATAAATAGCATTGTTGTTGTTGAAGAGTTAGGGCGCGCAGCAGCGTGATAGATAGCATCCTCTAAAGACATTGTTGAAATTGAGATACCTACAATAAGAGCTAAGAAGGTATACCTGGAACTATTTCCCATGCTGGGAATATATACAATCATAAATAATGCATCTGAAAAAAAAAAACTTCATGCACACACATTGCCGGGTATAAAAATAAAATCTCCCCATATAACCAAAACATTACAAAACGTATATTCGCTCTCGGTACACCAATGGGTCAAATCAAACACCGGATAGCTTTAAAATAATGTGACATACGAAGCCCAATATTAAAATACTCAATCTTAAAAGGCACTTAGTATAGATCTCACCTAAATTATGGCATTATTAAGAAAACAAATTCATTTAATCCAGAAGCTTAAAGAGCACACATGCGCCATTATTGTAAGCATCACTGCAAAAGTTGGTGATTAACGCCTCACAGTACTGAAAAAATAACGATTTTTGCATCGAAAGCGATTACCATCACTTACCTGACTAGTTCTAGTAATGTATAGCCTCAAAACATGCCGGGAAAGCCTAGCAGGCGACATTTTCCCCGCGGCTGGCAGCATCTCCGCCCCGGTTTTCGCAAAAGACAGGGGGATCCATTGGCTTTTTTCGGTGTCACGAGAATGACAAAATTGACCAGCTGATGCCTACGGGTTTTTCAAAACTTTGCGTGGATATTTTTCTATTTTTACCTGTTTTCTTTTTTCAAACTTACGCCCGAAATTCATTTGACTAGCTAAGGAACAGATTAAAAAACAAAACCATTCATTGAAAATATTCCCATGTCTAGTGTATACATCTAAAACTGTAACATGTCTGGGCCATGCTAGAACTTTTGGGACTTTTGGTACGAAGTTGTCAGATGAGATTATGGAACTTGTAATCAACGTGTAGTCAAGATTCGCTTTTGAAACGGTTTAATTAATGGTCCCTAGACAAAAATATTATATTTATTATATAATAAATGAGCTTTGCTATCTCTTATTCAGAATTCGTCCCGGGCAAGGCCCCAAACTTCGCCCCAGCCCGGGGTACGGTCCTGTCAAAACTCCACCTTACCTAAAGGTGTCGGTAGATATTGGTGTCGTCCTTTCCAGGGTATATAGGTCCTATCGGCTAAATAATTGTCCAAATCGATTCTTCTGGTCCGCATTTAGCCACAGACTCGGGAGACGCACGTGTGCTCCTTGTCGTACAACCCAGCCAACAGTTACTCGGGCGTAGCCTGGGCAAGTTGGGCATGCCTTGGGCATACCCCAAGTTAGCCCGGTTTGGATGTTTTGCTACTTGGGCATGGCTCGGGATATGCGTGGGCAAAACCAACTTGGGCTGGCCCTAGATAAGCCCAAACAATGGCTTTCCATGATTTTTGGGCTGACATTGGGCATGCCCTACTTAAGTTCACCACTAGGGCACAGCTTGGGCTTGGCCCAAGCTTGGCCCGCGCTATCGGCATGGAACCAGTCGGGCAATGTCCAAGTTAGCCCGGGCAGGTCGTTTGCAGTAGCGGCGGAACACTTGCAATTAAGGGGGGCACTGCCGACTTTTGATCACATTCTTTCCATGCAACGCCCATAGGGCTAATGTTAAAATGCCCGAATCAAAGGGGGGCACGGTGCCCCGGTGCCCTCCCCGTTCCGCCGCCTATGGTCGTTTGAGCTTGGGTTCCGCACGGGCTTGCCCAGTTGGGGCCCTATCCATTCCACTTTCGTTTTTGGTCGGCGTTAGTGTCATACGCCGGGCAGAACCCGGGTAAGCCGGGTTGGAGCTTGGGCGAGCCCAACCAAATACCGCGGGCATGCCCAAGGTTTGCCCAGTCGGGCACCACTCAGAATTATTGGCTGGGAAGGTATCTCTCGGACAACACTTTCACGAGAGCGGGAAAAGTAAATACGTGATTAGTTAGGAAGGAAAGTGGAAACAGCGTTTGGCAACAGTCCCAGTGGCAATGACCCAGTGGTAGTGGTAAGTATCCGAAGGTTGGGACTTTTCAATTAAGACAATCACTATTCTTTAGAATTATTGTGGTAGTGGTAGTGGTAGTAGTAGTGATAGGGGTAGTGGTAGTATTAGGGATAGTGGTAGGGGTAGTAGTAGGGGTAGTAGTAGGGGTAGTAGTAGGGATAGTAGTAGGGTAGTGGGAGGGGTAGTTGTAGGGGTAGTGGTAGTGGTAGTGGTAGTGGTAGTGGTAGGGTAGTGGTAGGGTAGTGGTAGGGGTAGTGGTAGGGGTAGTGGTAGGGGTAGTGGTAGGAGTAGTGGTAGGGGTAGTGGTAGGGGTAGGGCTATTACTCCTATTTGTTTCAGACTAGGCTCCCCTACTGCCCTTGACGACGCCGACGGACCCATGCATGCTGATCAGTTGGTCAACTGATCGCGCCTAGGGTCTCAAGTCTGAGGGCATGCACTCCGTTCTCCCCATGATAAAGAAAGGTCATATGCCGCTCGATCTTCCAGTGCACTCACAGGCGTGCATGCACGCCTGTGTCAAATTGAGGCAACAGCACCTATCGATGTATATCAGCAACGCCGGGCAGTAAGCGTAAGTGCGACTATACCTAAACGGATAGCAACATAAAACGCGATTGTTGTGGGAAGTGAACTTGTAGCTGCGCCCGCATATTCAGTGCCCAGTGGAGCCGATTATTGATTTTGCAGAGCTCAGCCAGACCCGCCGGCCATGCGCACAAGGTCGTTTCGCCGCCGGCAGACCGTGGCAATGTGAGCCGTGCTGCCGTGGAGGACGGTTCACATCACAGCAGGTCAGGTCAGGTACAGGTGGGACCTGGGACACATTAGTTTTGGTATCGCCTGGCACTCAGTGAAGAGGCCGTTAACGATAGGGTCACAAAAGGTCACAGAAATAGCGGTCATCGGACAAGGTCAAAGCAGTGGAACTGAGCAAGTGCGCGTACCGTCGTGGTGTGGAAAAAACAACGGTTTGAAAACAGTATAAAAGTTTGGAGATTAGAGACTGAGCGCTCGACTCGAGGCTAGCCTTCCCTTTTGCAACAGCATGTACGTCGTTTTCAGATGAGGTACAGCCACGACTGTAATTTGCGTGCGCTCAGAGCTCGTCGCCGGAGACGTCACTCGGCCACTCATATCCACTGTTATCGGAGGCGCAGCCACGGAGACCGTCAGAAGACGAGGTAAGCAGGCTGCTCGCTTGGGCAGCTATACAAAACGCATGAAGATTGAAGAACATGCCAGTTGAATGGTAGCTACTAAGTGATCTCCATGGAGACCACAACCACCACTTGATCAGTCTTATTTAAATTTTAAATGTATGTAATAAAGGCATAAGGAATAAAGTATGGTAAGAATCTTAAATCTTTGGAAATTGGAAGGAAACTAATATGGATTTTTCGTTTTCATGGAAGACTTGAGGTATGACTGGGGCATGGAGGCTTCGCCCTATCCCCTCATTACATGCAGCATAGGTGCCGACATCTCCAATCTGCACGCATGAAAGGTCATGTTTATCATGTCACCTACTTCCAGTCGAGAAACTGCGTCACTGCCCTCTCAGTGATAGGTAAATAGCATTTCACCCGAGGGTCGAGATCCTCATCCCAGAGCAGGCCCGTGGGAGAGGAACTAAGCCCCACCGAGCTCGCATCCTGTGTCCCACTTTTCGCAACCAGCGTTACCAAGAAACTGGAGCCGGGCGGACGGCTGACCTTGATATCACATATATGTGGGGAAGCGCATCAGAAGGGGGAGGGGCGCGACTCGAGTGAGCCACCAGCTGATTCCGGCAGGGGCGCGCCCAGGGCTGCCTTTACGGGGGGCAGAGTTCGATGGTGACGTTATAATGAATAGGTGTTTGATGGTGGATGGCGATGCTGTCGTGCATTTATGAGGAATTTGTCAGCTTTACTTTACCTACCTAATCGAGGTGACAACGGACGCGAGATAAATGACAAATCCCTTCCGGTCAGTGTTACGTCTCCTATATGTTTTGAATAAGTCTGGAAGTGAAGGCGGGGACGGTCACAGGTGTTAATGCTTACCTACTTTATAGGTATTGTTTCATGGTATAGAGTTAATAAACTGATACTACATACATGATGGTCGGGACTCGGCGACTCAGTGAGCGTTGGATATTTTCTCGCCCAAGCGCCATCTCAAGACCAAGTGACCTCAGCCTTCAGAGAAACTTAGGCATCGGCCGGATGTGGAACGCTTATATAAGTGTTGCCGTCTGAGCCGCCAACGTACGCCACGCAGCGCGCATAATTAAGCCTTTACGGACCATGAATACAAACAGGTACTAGATCTTGTGTCTCCCGACGGGTCACCGCTTTCTTCTCATATATATCCGACGCTAGAGGCGGCGATGAAAGCGAGATAGCTGACCACAATCGGTCATAATTATATCGAAAGGCGCTAAAGTAAGACGGCCAGCGGTACAGAAATTCGCCATCGCTGTCTTGCCCCTCCCCGGGAGCTGCGCGCTCCGCGGATGCAGATGACGTGTGCTCCACTGCGTAGTGCGCACAGTGCGCACTCCTTCCCCCCCCCCCCCCCCCCCGGCTGATCCCCTCCCTCAGCGCAGCAGATGCACGGGCAATGGCACGGCACTCGGCAATGAGATAGACTCGGAACTGGTTTACAGAACCCATCAGCGGCCATGACTTTCAGCTGTGCGGGAGAGGAGCAGGTTTCTTGGCATGGGTGGATTTGCGGTACCCGGGGCCGGACACCTCGCTAAGTTTGAACGGAAACTAAACGCACACATAAGTCATAAGCTAGATGCAAACATAACTCCAAACATCGCCCGGCACCTTGCCGGCACCGGCCCGGCACTGCTAATGAAATGAAAGTGCTCAACCTTTCGTGACAATTATCTCACTGCTGAGCCAGCATCAACGGAAGCAACGTAGGCAGCTTTTGCAATGCATTGTTCATGTCCATTGTCCAGTGACCATAGTCCATACATCTTATGTTGCAGCGCTCTAGTGACCGAGCCTGGTTAAAAGCCAGATATGGGATATGCTCGAGCTCAGTTAGGGGAAGCCGGGGGAAGCCCGGCATAGTAAGCTCTTTTTCATTTTTATTACATACCATACGTGCTGTATAAAATGTTGATATCCAGCTAGCTAGCTAAGTTCATTGGCCGTGTTTTCCCAAAAATTCGGTTTCGTGGAATAAGTATAAGGTTGAGAAAATCGAGTTTTAAAAAAGTGTTGATTTTTCTGGGGTAAGCCCGGCATAAGGGTAACGCCGGCCACCTCCCCAGCGCTTTACAACGAGTTGATGAAACCATTATGTGTTTTCCAAATATTAACGGAAAGTGAAATATTAAGGTACTGGTTAGCTCTGAACATCTTAGAGTTTATGTCACTACTGGTATTTTAGCTATCGTCTACTACATATACAGTACAGGTCGATGAAAATCGTGATGCAAAATTGACAAAAAAATGTGCATTTCAAAATTCCTTAAAATTTATTTATCTCTTTACCTTAATGCATCATATTGCATATCATTCGACTCGGCTGATGAAGAAGAACACAACGACACCATTTTTGAAGCTCTAGCTTCATTGTCTGTCGCGTTATCTGCAAAAACGTAGTTTGACCCTAGTTGACCTTAAGTGACATGACTGGCTTTGTCTATGATAACATGTTTATTTTCGAAATTTATCTTTGATCTAGGTGTAAACCAAACCTGCTCAGTACCTATTATCTCATGGAAAACAGTGGTTTAGTGGCATCGCTCTCGGTTGGGGGTAAGCTTGGCCACTCGTCCGGGGTTACCCCAATGTGCTAATTTT